TTTTTTTCCAGGTACTCCTCCTCCAAGCAAACAGGATTTCTTGTTCAAACACACTCGTTTAGTGTTTCAGAGCTCGTCTTTACAAATCCAAGAAATCCTTTGACAGTTTCTGTCATAAAATGCAAATATATATATATATATATGGTTTTAAAATAGTTTTCAATAACTTCACTGTAAAATCTCCCTGTACCTCCAAAAGCAGTATCAGGAAGCCAGTGGTCCGTGAGAAAGACGCACACTGAGTTCACGGGTCAGGTGACCACATCCCTCCTATCAGAGGGAACACTGTTTCCCGGGTGATTACAGAACTCGCGTACCTCAGAGTGTGCGTGTGGAACTGCAGCGATACTGCGCTGTGATTGGCCAGCAGTGCTGACACTCACGTCCTATTGGGTCCCTTTCTCACTGGTCCTCTGTATCAAGCACTGCTGCTAGAAGGGTCTGTGCACGGGTTTGGTTTATTATTATTACTATCATTATTTACAGTCACCCAGTTGTTCATCCGACCAACAAACTGAAATGGTACATTTTTTTCACTATTAACAGTCATGTGTTTACTTGACATGAATGTAAACTTCACAATATATATTTTTTTATTTCCTTGCTTGTCTCCCCATTAGTCTGGGAGAAAGTGGAGAGGTAAAAATCAATACGATGACTGAAATGGAAACAGTTGGTCACAGAATGCACCAAAGAAGTTCAAATAATCCTGTTTTCCCCGTAAAACAACCCCCACCCCACCCAACCCCAAACAAATGAACCAAAACCCCCCCTCCCCACAATCCTCATATTGCTGTGATTTGCCTCTAAATAACAGAGGGATCGGCTGGCCTCTCCCAGCGCACAGTAACACTGTCATGGAGCCGGCCTCTGGGAACAGGAGGAAAGCCTTCAGCTGCCTTTATTGGGTGCGTTTTCCCTCCACTCCCAGAGGCCTCCTGTTCACAGGAAAAGAACAGGAAAAAAAGGAAAAAAAAAACCACCAAGGGGCTGCTGGTAGGTTGTTGGGAAGTAACAGGCATCAGCCGAAATGGTAACTAGGATGTTACAGCTGCCATGGAGTTACCAATGTGGTCAGTGTGGCGGGGGGGTCGTGGGGGCGGGGGGAGAGGGACGGGGGGAGTCCCAGGCTGGGGGGTGCGTGGGGTCTCTCAGTGCGAGGGAATGAAGTCACCCCTCCCTCAGAAAGGGGGGGGGCGGCTCTGAGGGAATGTGTAGCAGGCAACGGGACCCGAGGAGGGGGGGAGAAGGGACGAGGGGGGTCACTGCAAAGGTCACCGAGGCTCACAAAGGCACAGAACGATGGGGGGGAACCCCCTCTGTCCCCCCTCTCCCCTCCACAAGCCCGGCCTCTTGTCTGTCTGTCGTTCCATATACAGATATACTCTTTCTATTCTTCTTTTAAAAGAGAACATTTAGGAAAATATCATACAAAAATCTCATACAGGAAATATAGACTACACTTGCTAAAAATCACTAAAGAGTCTTGATAGCTGTTTTTTTTTTTCATATGGAGGATTTTGTTTTTGTGTTTTTTGTCTTTTTTTTGTGAGACCTGCCTTCAGAGGCTGGTCCTTTTTTAGCGCATCAGGAGGCCACAGGAAACTGAAAGAGGAACACTGAGCGTTACACCGTTACATGTAACACAGTGTTACATCAAAACCGCCTCTACCCTAATGGCAGGAAGAAAAGAGTGCAGGGTTACCCCACATAAATACATTACACTGGTCTGATCCGCAATGCCCAGGGGCTCCTGAAATCGCTTCACACGCGTAAAATCTCTTAGGTAGTGCCGAGAGAGCGTTGTTACTCAGGACAGGAGTCACGGGAGGGAAAAGCAAAAAGGGGGAGTCGATTCTGACGAAACCGGGAGGAAAAATCAGTGTAATCTCACTCTGCTGGCGGCTCGGCTCTCTCTCAGAAGAGCCCATCAGCACAGCTGGCAACAGCTGCTTCTACACTTCGAGCTGCTGGTACAGGATTGACGTGCCAACTAGAACCAGCACACGCAACACACACACAAACACACACACACACACACACACACACACACACACACACACACACACACACACACACACACACACACACACACACGCCAGGGCATCATTTGTGAATTCAGGAGGTGCGACTGCTTTAGACCCTCTTTAATCTTCAGGGCTGAGCGAGGAGATCCAGTCTCCCCCAGGCTCCCCTGTGCTCACTCTCCACCCACACCCAAACAGGCCTCCTCTTTCCTCTCTTCCTCCTTCCTCTCTTCCTCCTCCTCCCCCTCCTCCCCCGTGTGGGGCCCTCCTGCTCTGATTAACGCTCCTGTGGGCAGTGTCCTCCAAGGCTTACTGTTGCATCCCTGCGTTACCGTGCTCACCCTGGGGCCAGGGAGGACAGCCTCGTAGCCCCGCCTTTTAACTCCCCCGCAGCTAAAGCCGCACGCTAACGATGGGAAAGCAGGGCCTATCAGACGCGGACGCCGGCGCTGTGCTCCCACACCGCCTGAGGGGGTCAGTGCAGCGCTCAGCAGTGTGGAGCAGTGCTTTCAGGACTGCACTCTTACCCGGGGTTGCAGGTTTGAGTCCGGTGAGCGGCGCAGCGGCAGCGCCCGGAGGTACAGCCGTATATGGGAGTGACGCAGAGCGCCCCGGGTATGTCAGGAGGAGTTCCGCTTCAGCTCGGGTACGAGAGCGGAATAAACAGGTTCTTTTCCCGCCGATGGAGAATGGCAGGTGAAAACAGGAAGTGCTTTTCAGGCCGGTCTTTCGAACCCCTGCACGGTGTGCTTCAGAAAGGGGACGAATGGATAACCCAGGCAAAGAGACACGTGAGGCTCCTTTCGGTTTCTGCCCATTCTCTCTCTCTCTATCGTGTGAAACAGGAAGCACTTTTTCTCACACACACACACACACACACACCGCATGGCACGTGGTTCTCGTTGGCAAGTCAAAGCCGTGTGCCACACCGCAGAGGCCCCCCCACGGAAACCATGAATTGCCGAGCGATCCGATCCTGCGGTGGCAGCGGGGGGTGGGGGGGGGGCCGGGCGGAGTGGGGGGTGTGGGTGCAGGAAGTCACGGGGGCCTGCTTCCTGGCCTAGTGCAGGCGCGGCTGCAGTCTGTGGGAGAGCGTGTAGCTGCTGTCGCTGGAGCTGCCCTGCAGGCTGTAGTGGTCCTCCCCGTCACTCACGCTGCTGCCGCTGTCCACCTCGCCCGGGGTCAGCTCCATGCCCTCGATATCCACCTCTGCAGCACACACACGCACACACACACACACACACACGCACACAGGGTCAGCTCAGTCTCAGTGTACTGGGATCGGTACGGTGCTGTATTGGGATCGGTATGGTGCTGCACTGGGATCAGTATGGTGCTGCACTAGGATCAGTATGGTGCTGTATTGGGATCAGTATGGTGCTGTACTGGGATCAGTATGGTGCTGTACTGGGATCAGTACGGTGCTGTATTGAGATCAGTGTGAGGCAGTGCAGGGCTGTACTGGGATCAGCACCTTGCTCGGAGTCGGTGGAGATGGTGGAGCCCATGCTGTCGGTGCGGACGCGCTCCAGGCCCTGCACAGACAGCTGCTCCAGCCGCCGTTTGAGGTAGCGATGCTCCCGCTGCAACTGCTCCTTAACATTCAGAGCCTTCCTGTCCTGCTCCTCCAGCTTCTGCAGAGAGAGGGGGAGGGAGAGGGAGAGAGAGGGAGGGAGAGGGAGAGAGAGAGAGGGGGAGAGAGAGGGAGAGAGAGAGTGAGAGGCAGAGAGAGGACGGGGGAGAGAGAGAGAGAGAGAGAGAGAGGAGGGGGGAGAGAGGGAGAGAGAGGGAGAGAGAGGGAGACGAGGGAGAGCGAGAGAGAGAGAGAGAGGGGGAGAGGGAGAGGGAGAGGGAGAAAGAGAGAGGGAGAGAGAGAGAAAGAGACACACACACTGGTCAGCAGCTGACGGGAAGGCCCACCCTCTCCTTGTCATAATGCCAGCTCGTCGCCGCTGTTAGCACATGGAGGTCACGTGTGTGTCACCTCCACCAAACCTGCATGACACTGCAGAGGCTCTGAAAGCAGAAGTGAGCTGTGTCCGAGCCACTCCCCTGGCTTTACCACTGTGACAGAGAGTGGCAGAGAAGTTCTCACGCTACAATCAAACACAGGGCCAGTGACACGGACCCAGAGTGATGTGCAGGAAAGTCACCAGGTTTTATACAGCATGCTTATCGCAAACTGTGGCACATTCAGTTTGATAATAAACTTCAGCAGGCTCTACACTGCACTGCTTCCCCATCCCCAGGGTTTAAAGAGGAAATCAGACAGAGAGACGCCACCCTCTACCTGCATACTGTGTATGTCTGTTATGTTTATGTTTATGAAGGAGCAAACACAGGTGGAGATCCCCTTGGTCTTCCTTAATGTGTTACACACCTCTCCCCTTTCTGTTTCTCTTTGAGATGGCCTGGAGTCAAGGTGCGGCTGATCAGCGCTAACGAGCTGTGTGGCCGATCAGCACTAACGAGCCAACTGGTCGCACCTGTGCACTCCTGTTAAAAAGGAGCAACTTTTGCCTGCAGGAGAGACACACAGGAGACCCCCCGAGAGACTTCCAGAGACAGTTGCTCCCCAGCAAGTGGTCCACTTTTTGTGGCTTGCTGGGGTTTTTTTTCTCCCCAGTTTATTTCCTTTATTGTTTGTGTTTAGGGCTTCCCTGCAAGACGTGAGAGATCCTTCTGTCTAGCACAGTGTAGATAGAAAGTGTAGGCTAGGAAGTGGTCCGGAAGACACTGTTTTGTGAACGGGAGAGAGGTAAAGATTCACAAGACATTTAGACCAGCCTAGCCTAGCTCTCACGTCTTGGCCCTCAACTCAGGGAAGCCTGTAAGCCTGTAGGTTTGTACCTTTACTTATGACTCATTTGCTCTTTTTTTGTGACGGCTTCTTATGTTGGGCCCATAGCTGGGCCGTGACAAATGAGAAGAGCGGAGAACTGCTGGGCAGAGCAGCAGTGATGGGGGACAACATGCACGTAGGATTCAAACTGGCAATCTCAGGGTTCTGAGCCCTGCTCCTTACCACTACGCCACACTGCTACTTATTAAGTTGTTCTTTTTTTTTTGGTACAGCTGCGCTTGTCTGAACCACATAATGCACTCCAGCATATCAGACAGCCCTTCGCTGCAAATGATCAAAAGAGAGCTTTCACGCACGCATTTGCTCTAGAACGTGTCCAGCTTCCTTCCATCTCAAAGGCATAGTGATTACCCACCAGGAGAGCTGCTTAGTGTCAAATCAGCAGTACACTGACAGAGGGAGTGAGCAGCAGTGTCTGCTTCAGTAGGGACTGACTGATCTTATTCAGCAGCAGTGCTCTTAAGCACAGCTGAGCCACAGGGCAGCAGTGTAGCATAGTGGTAAGGAGCAGGACTCATAACCGAGAGGTTGCCGGTTCGATTCCCTTCTGGAGCACTGCTGCTGTACTCTTGGGCAAAGTACTTAACCCAGAACTGCCTCAGTAAATATCCAGCTGTATAAATGGATGACATTGTAAAAACTGTAACCTACGTAAGTCACTCTGGAAAAGAACGTCTGCTAAATGCCAGTAATGTATGGAGTTTGCACAGTCCAAACTTAGACTGTGTGATGTGAAAGCGGCAGGCGGTTTCCGCAGGGCCTGACTGGCTCAGACCGTTCTCTCTCTCTCTGGGACAGAGCACATGTGCAGTAAGTAGGCGAATGCATTTACTTGAGTGGTGGGTTATAGGTGTGACTGTCTCTCTGGGGCCCTCTGATTCTCCCAGCATTCAGCTGCATTGGGCACAGGGTCAGAGAGTGAGAGATGACATGCCAAGCAGACAACAGCAAACATCTACACAACCTGCACACCTGAGAACACCTAACGCATTCAGAAAACACCCGAAGAGGCCTAATGTCCTCACATAGTCACATTACATTACGTTACTGTCTTATCTAGAAAGAATTACATAGATTACAATCCATTTATACAGCTGGATATTTACTGAGGCTAATCTGGGTTAAGTACCTTGCCCAAGGGTACAGCAGCAGTGCCCCTGTGGGAAATCGAACCTTTCGGTTAAGAACCCTTCTCCTTACCACTGTGCTACACTGCCGCCCACAAATCACCTGCACATGTGAGGACACCTAAGGTCCCACCGCAGTCAGAAAGCATGTCTGTGGACATGAGAAACTGCTGGCGAGTCTTTAAGAAGCCACTGAACAATCATCTACATCCAAACTTACAGACCAACACAGAATAATAATCTGCAGATGATAAATGAATCGGCTTTTTCTATCGTGAGATATTGCATGTTATGCAGCAGTGGTTCATTTCCTGTGTGAGTGCTGGGCTCCTACAGGCAGGAGAGCGGGACGCGCAGCCAGGAGAGCGGGACGCGCAGCCAGGAGAGCGGGACGCGCAGCCGTGTGAGTGCGGGACGCGCAGCCAGGAGAGCGACGGAGCGCAGCCGAGCGGGACGCAGCCAGGAGCGCGCAGCCAGGAGAGCGGGACGCGCAGCCAGGAGAGCGGGACGCGCAGCCGTGTGAGTGCGGGACGCGCAGCCAGGAGAGCGGGACGCGCAGCCAGGAGAGCGGGACGCGCAGCCAGGAGAGCGGGACGCGCAGCCAGGAGGGACGCGCAGCCAGGAGAGCGGGACGCGCAGCCGTGTGAGTGCGGGACGCGCAGCCAGGAGAGCGGGACGCGCAGCCGTGTGAGTGCGGGACGCGCAGCCAGGAGAGCGGGACGCGCAGCCGTGTGAGTGCGGGACGCGCAGCCGTGTCGAGCGGGACGCGCAGCCAGGAGAGCGGGACGCGCAGCCAGGAGAGCGGGTGCAGCCAGGAGAGCGGGGACGCGCAGCCGTGTCCGTGTGGGTGCGCAGCCAGGACGCGCAGCCGCAGCCGTGTGGGACGCGCCAGGAGAGCGTGTCCGTGTGAGTGGACGCGCAGGGACGCGCAGCCGTGTCGTGTGAGTCCGGGACGCGCAGCCGTGTCCGTGGAGTGCGCGGACGCGCGCCGTGTCCGTGTGAGCGCGGGACGCGCAGCCGCCCGTGTGCGTGTGGGACGTGTGGTGAGTGCGGGACGCGCAGCCGTGTCCGTGTGTGAGTGCGGGACGCGCAGCCGTGTCCGTGTGAGTGCGGGACGCGCAGCCGTGTGCGTGTGAGTGCGGGACGCGCAGCCGTGTCGTGTGCGCCGGGACGCGCAGCCGTGTCCCTGTGCGTGCGGGACGCGCAGCCGCCGTGAGTGCGCCGGGACGCGCAGCCGTGTGCCTGTGCGTGCGGGACGCGCAGCCGCAGCCGTGTGCGTGCGGGGACGCGCAGCCGTGTGCGTGTGGACGCGCAGCCGTGTCCGTGGTGAGCGGGGACGCGCAGCCGCAGGCGCGTGTGAGTGCGGGACGCGCAGCCGTGTCCGTGTGAGTGCGGGACGCGCAGCCGTGTCCGTGTGAGTGCGCCGGGACGCGCAGCCGTGTGCCTGTGCGTGCGGGACGCGCAGCCGTGTGCAGCCGTGTGCGTGTGAGTGCGGGACGCGCAGCCGTGTGCGTGTGCGTGCGGGGACGCGCAGCCGCGTGTGCGTGTGAGTGCGCCGGGACGCGCAGCCGTGTGCAGCCGTGTGCGTGTGCGTGCGGGACGCGCAGCCGTGTGCGTGTGAGTGCGGGACGCGCAGCCGTGTGCGTGTGGGACGCGCAGCCGTGTGCGTGTGAGTGCGGGACGCGCAGCCGTGTCCGTGTGAGTGCGCCGGGAAGCGCAGCCGTGTCCGTGTGAGTGCGGGAAGCGCAGCCGTGTCCGTGTGAGTGCGGGACGCGCAGCCGTGTCCGTGTGAGTGCGCCGGGAAGCGCAGCCGTGTGCGTGTGGGACGCGCAGCCGTGTCCGTGTGAGTGCGGGACGCGCAGCCGTGTCCGTGTGAGTGCGCCGGGAAGCGCAGCCGTGTGAGTGCGGGACGCGCAGCCGTGTCCGTGTGAGTGCGGGACGCGCAGCCGTGTCCGTGTGAGTGCGCCGGGAAGCGCAGCCGTGTCCGTGTGAGTGCGGGAAGCGCAGCCGTGTCCGTGTGAGTGCGGGACGCGCAGCCGTGTCCGTGTGAGCGCGGGACGCGCAGCCGTGTGCGTGTGCGTGCGGGACGCGCAGCCGTGTCCGTGTCAGTGCGGGACGCGCAGCCGTGTGCGTGTGGGACGCGCAGCCGTGTGCGTGTGAGTGCGCCGGGTACCTTGATGTGCATCTTGGCCCGCTTCAGCAGGCTTAGTGTGGTATGCCGGGTGCTGTCCGGCCCCAGAGGCACCAGCTGCTTCAGCTGCTCCAGGTACAGCCTCAGTTTGGCACGTCTGCGACACAGAGAGGGGGGACACAGTGAGGGAGTGACACGGAGAGACATCCCAGCGCTGCACCCTGAGCGCCTGCCCACACACACACACACACACACACACACACAGCTACACAAGCTACAGCCTGTTCCGCACTCCCCGCTGTGTGAGAGCGGTGACCAGGCCGAGCTGTACACAGCACCGCCCTGACAGAACACGAGGTCAGACGCAACATTTCAGACTGTTCCGGAACACAGTGGCACTCCACACTGACAGGAGACGGGAGACCCCCCTCACTCCCTCACTTTCCATCTGGGCCCGCTGGTGTGTACTCACTTCACAGAGCAGACCGACTGCAACGCCCTGCTCGGCTGCAGGACGGAGGTGCGTGTCTTTGCCTCAACTGCATCCCTTTCATCCCTGTCATGATCTGATTTCACAGCCCTGACAGATGTTTGAAATCACTGTGTGTCTTTCCTGCCCGTCCTCTGAGACCAGCGCACTGCTCGGGGACATGTTGAAGCGCTGGAGCCGGTGACGTGCTCATTGACGCACGCAACACTGTCCTAAAGCAGAGCGCCCTCCTACAGCAGCGTCACGGGGTCAAAGGTCACGGACCAGATCCGTCTCTGAGGTCCAGAGAGAGGCCCTGTGTGAGAGCGCAGCCAGGCCCTCCCTGTTCCTGTGAGCTGAGATGCGCAGTAACATGTCCTAGGCTGAGTCTGCGCGCAGACAGGGGGAGCAGGGTGCACGCAGAGTCCGGTGAGGTGTGTGTACACGTTCCTCACCCCTATCCTCACTGCGGCTCCACAGGCAGCTGTGCTGCTCTGGCCTGAAGCCCCACTGAACAAGCCTTCGGCCTGCAGCAAGGCATGCTGGGAACATGGCAGAGACCTCAGACTACAGGAACCAATCACGTTTAAGGTGCAAACATCACCACTGGGGACGCAAGTCCTTATAAAGGGGACTGAAAGGCAGGCTCAAGTATCTGTGGATACTGCCAGCCAGCCTTTGGCCTTTAGCTCCCTGCTGGCACTGGACACACACACACACACACACACACACACACACACACACACACACACACACAGAGTCTGCAGACACACCGTCTGTCAGGTCCAGGTCACACACAGGTTTAATGGTCCATACAGAAAGGCGCACGGCTTGCGTAAGAGGGCACCGCAAGCTGACCGCTACAAAGTGCCTTGTGAAGCATTATATAATTTAAACCAAAGCGCAACGCTTGAGTTTCCAAAGGAACGGGAGACCGGGCCAAAAGGGCGCCTGCAGCCGGCCGCCGCTGACGTCACCGCGGAGACCGTCCCGGGGCTAACGAGCTCAAACGAGCACAGAGACTCACGCTCCCCGATCCCTCAGCCAATCAGAGGCCTCCCCGGCCATCAGAGAGCCACACAATGGCCGACCGAGAGCGGCCTCTTCAGCACAAGATGACCATTTATGACCAGCCAAGAGTGAAGGGACCCCTGGCGACAGCGACGGGACGCACAGTGAGGGCATTGTTCTCGCCCTGCGGCCCACTCAACAATGGAAACGTATAGAGAGAGAATGAGTACGCGTTCGATATGAGCTGCGCTTATCTGATGCGAATGGCATCTCCTGAATGCAGAGAAGCAGCTCCTCAGCCCCCGCTGTCCTGCTCCCGGCTCATTTCCCAACGCTTCTGGCTGCGAGTGACAAACGGCCATCGTGGTGGAGAGGTCATGAGATTCATTGTGCTGGTGAACCATGGTTCAGTCAGGAAACACGACCTGGTGACAGCGCTT